TTGGGTCATCATGCACTCTATAACTTCCAATAATTAATTTCCCTTTCGACAGAAAGACTATGTTACATCAATGAATATCACTGACACAGTGAGGTGGCAGTGAATGTCCTGGTTCTGCTGTTAGTGACGCAATGTAGGACCCAAAAAACCAACTGCCTTCTGGATGTTATCTGGGAATATGACATTGATGTAAAAAATCAGTAGCACAGGGCACAGGGCAAGCTCATCTGTTCTTTTTGCAGTTTGGGCCATATTTCTTCTGTGGCTTTCAGCAAGTCTTCAGGTTTTCTGAGCCCAGTCCGTAAAATAAGCCTTGCAGTCTTTTGTTGTGTCCCACGTAAGGGACCATTAAAGATTGATTCATTCTTGTTCAAAAATTGCTGTGAAGATGAAAACTGCAGTATAAATTCTACCTATTGTTCCAGTGGCCTCCTGATTTCAAAGGCTGCCAGGATTAAAATGGTAGGAGACTGATTTAAGTGGAAATCAAGACGTGGTGTGGCTGATGGAGGAGTCTGACAGAACATGTTCACCAGCAGCAACCTGAGAGGGAACGATACACAGAGAGATGATACACAGAGCTCTTCAATACCATAAAGTCATACATAAAAAAAAATCTCATTACTGTCTTTTGCACACTCTAGCCACTGTTCCTACAACTCTATTGGGCTCTGGCAGTAGTGAGAAACATATTAATGAAACAGAACAGTATCTGTGAAGGATATTGTGTCAGGTTGTATGATGAGATACACAGACATCCTTTGGAGTTTACCAAGAATAAGACAATAATATCCATGCTCAGGATAAAATCCCAGCCTTTGCAAGTAGATAGCATCAGAGAGGCAAAGAGGTGGGAACAGAAGCTCACACTGTGACTCACAGTGGCTCTGACAGAGTGCATGAAAGGAGCTGGCTTTGTCAATGCCTTTCATAAAACCTGTCGAGGTAAGAAAAGAGGTGAATACCAAAGCAATGGATACCAACATACCTGCCTCAATAGAAACCAGAGCACAAGCCCATGAACCCACCCCACAAGGTGAGTGCAGCTGCTTATTGCTGCAGACAGGAAAGCTGGTGCAGGAAAGAGTCTAGAGACTTTCACTCAGATTTTGTCTCTAAGAAATGGAACAGCAAAATTAACAGGGTTAATTAATAACCTTGAAAATTCATCATTAATTAAAAAATGGCACTGATTCATTGAAGTCCAGGCATACTGGTACTCACAGTGTGAATGATGATGCTTGAGACAGAGCCCTAATCTCACCTAATTGAACACGCTGTGGATCTGGGCAGCCGCAGTGGCAGCACAGAAATGAGTCCAGGAAAAGGAATGGCTCCCAGTGGCATGCTTGCCACTGCTGCCTGAGAGCTAAAAACCACTGGGGCAGCCCAAAAACAGGAGCTGCACTTGGGAGCTGACTGAAATTCAGTGATATCTGTAGAAAGAGCACCGTAAAGCGAAATATGTTCTAACTCCTGTGTTACAGTGTTATTACCATCACTTCTCTGCTTCCTGGCTGCGTCCGTTGAGGTAACCCATGATAGGACCCATTGCTCTAGGTGCCATACATGCCTGTGATGCCAGCCTGGCTCCGCAGCTCGGGGGTGGACTCAACCCTGTCCAGCAGCCTGGGTCTGTATCAACCCAGAGGCCCAGAATAAAATGGAAACAACATAAAAACATATGGAAAAATGCCATCCAAAGGGCAAGAAGCTTCAAAATATTCAGTAGGTTATCTGACTCAGCAGCTTCCTGCTGAGTGCAGGCTGCCATGCAGTGACACAGTGTATAGGAGCAGCCTTTCCAACATACAAGGAAAGCAAAGACTTCCTGGTGTACATGGGAGAAAGCAACCAGGATGGTCCTGTAACCTACAAAGATGCCATTGTGGTCCCTACAATAGCCCTTTCCCTCCAGCACATTTGAAGGACCAACAATAATTAATTAAAACATTGCCCTTCTACCCCGCATTTCGGTGGTGGCATTTTATAAGCATTGCCAACCAAAGCTTCCCAATCCCACTGGGAGGTAAGAGTGATTGCTATCCATGTTTCATGGCTGGATAAGCAAAGTTCTGAGAAGATTGCTCCTAGCCTTGTCCAAATGGGCAAGGGAAGAGACAAGGACCATAAAACCTCTCCTTTCCTCTTACATGGCCTTTCCTAGCCCAGTTGCCACCCCAGGAAAGAGCCCAGCAGTTCTGGGATATCTGCCTGTCACTATGCCACAAGAGCTTTCCAAGAGGGATGGAACTGTGTGTCTCATCACACATGTGCCAGCAGCAAAGGGACCACTCACTAGGACAGAGAAAGCAGTACATGTCAACTGACAGATAATTTGTGCAACACCAGCAGGGAATGTTTTGTGGCCGAGGATTGGTACCCAGGACTCTCAGGGCTGGCTTCTCCCCTGCCAGTGAGATCGCATGACTTGGGGATAGCTGAAATCAACAGTCTGTAAGTGAGTAGGTCAAGCTTTTTATCATCTAAAAAAGGGAGATCATCAGGGTCAAGACATTGGAGTGACTGCTCATAAGCAAACTGTCTTATTAGATTTCTAGCTCCAATTTTGGGCCCAGATGTTGTAGCATATAAAAGCTGACATAACTTTATGATAGAAAAGTTGCCTTTGGGCTCTCTAGTGTCCATCATCAGCAGTGCATGCAGTCATTTAATGTTTCCTCTGGGCATCCAGCATAAACACTGCTTTTATGTAACATACCTACACACATGCACATATGTGCAGGAGGATCTGGGAACAGTTTCACTGAATTCTGTGTGGAGAAATTAATCTACCTGAATGTCATGTTGAATTTCATTGTGCTCATATCACCACACATCTGGCACAGCTGTGGCCCTCTCTGGCAGACTGACAGCCTGTGACTCCACAGCAGCTACATGGAAAAGGCCTTCTGTTTGCAATGCTGCCTTCTGCAGCCTTCTCCCCCAAGAGGCTTTAGATGATATAATACACACCACTGTTTCAGTTGCTCCTGCTTTTTCATCCAGCAAGATAAATTAATATGAAGACCCACTTGCCTTCGCCTGACCACAGCCTCCTCCATGGGTAGTGAAGATAAAAGACTCAGGCAAGCCACTCATCTCAAAAAACATCTAGGAAAGCATTCACACTATTTTAAAAAGCCCTGCCTGACACTGTGGAGGCAATTGCCACAAAAAAACCCTATAAACAAAGTAAACAAATACAATACCACTGAGAATCAGGCAAAGAAAGCAACAGTGATGCTTGCTATTCCACAAACACTTCAAAATACAAAATAAACGAACTAAAATTGTTTTCCTAGTTGTCTTTTCATCCTTTTCCCTAGGCCTTTTCCATAAGGTACCTACTGGAAATTCAAACAATAGTTTTATATAAATAAACCCATAGCATTCAAAAGAGACCAATCTCTTTCTCTAGATGCTCAAACACTGCAACAGTCTATATGATGTTTGAAAACCATGTGGGAAGGAGATCATTCTCTCTTAAATTCAATAGGGTTTTAGAATCACATTTATTCACTTCTATAGAGTTTTTCCATATGGGATTTCAGAGCCTTTTATACTAGAAAGTGCCCCCTTTTCTCCTCTTCTCTCCTTCTTTTGTGCTTGTTCTTTCATCAGCACAAAGCTGAAGTGAACAATAGTACACACGGCTTTACATCCCGCAACATCTAGGACTCTGAAGAACAAAGAACAAATACCCAACTGAGGGGCTAAAGATAGTAAATTCAGTGCAGTGGTAACTGCAGCTCCAGTGGAAAGTTCTGGTGCTGGTAGAAGAAGGTTCATTTTAGGAGCCAAAACAGATGAGCACTGAAAACCGGTTCTGATGTGGGCTGGCTATAAAATCCTAACTGAGTCACTGTGCCTCTCCAAGCTGCATTTTCTACAGCTGCAAAATGGGGTTTTGGCCCAGAAGCCTGGGTAGTGGTTTTATAAGGCATTATAATGGACTGCAAGAAATATAAACAAGTAACTATATTTTTTCATGTGGGAGGGCAGGAGCAAAGACCAAAGAGAAAAAAGCAAATAGATTGAGTGGGAGTGTGGCGACAGGAGTTGGGAGAATTTATTAATTTGGTTTCCATCTTATTCTCATAAACAACTTATAGCTGGGTGAATCTGCTTGTTGATCATTCTCTGCCTGATGAGCGTTTCCCCGCATTGGTGCTCCAGTCCCTGCTCCATGCTGGAGGTTGCCCCTCACTGCCCTGCCTGCCCTCAGCATCTCCACCCTGTCAGGGCTTACTCTACCTGCTCCCACCTCAAGGCCCCGAGCCCAGCCGGCTGCTCCCGCTTTGCTCCATGAGGACAGTTGGGGTTACTGTGGCTCTGCACCCTTTTGTCACTGCATCACCCTGTTTTCCCTCGGTCTGAAAACAGGGCTGGGGAAACACATCTCCTTCCCCAGCTGATTTGATACAGGAGGAGGAGGGAAATTGTTTTTCTCTCCCTGACTCAGATTCCCTCAGAGACCTCTGTGTGAGGTGGATGCCACCTGTGGGACCGGGAGAGGGAGCAGGGTGGGTCAAAGCCCCTGTTTGGAGAGGACAAGATCTTGCATTTTCCCCCTCCTCACTGAATCTCTGTGAAATCATGTCCTTTCCTGCTGCTATAATCACTGATTATATGCCATTTGCCTGTTGTATTAAAGCTGCTTCCTTAATTAATATAATTTTAAAGGACGGTCTTGGCATGAAGGAGACAAGCTCTTTTGAAGTCCAATAAACACATTTTGTATGTGATCATCATAAGCAACTCCTGCAGCTTTTCTATGGTGAGGAGGCAGAAAGCACCACGAGTTAATGAACGGGTTTTAACCACCTGATGCTGGTCAAAGCTTTGATCTATCAGGTTTAAGGCTGGGTGGAGGAGGGGAGGCAGAGCGCTCTGCCATGCTCCCCAGTGCCACCGAAACTGTTAATCAGCCTGCTCTGCAGTCTACTGCGGAGTTTGCTTTATTAAAGCTCCCTGCTGCCTGCACACGTTCACTGGCACAGACATCGAGAGACAAGCAAACACTTACCCAAGTGCAGAGTACTCACTGCTGCATTGCAGAGTTTACTGGCATAAAATGATGGGGGTAGGTAATTGCAGGTGGAGGCTTGGGTCCTCCCTTAGCCTGCCTGCATCTGCAATCTCCTGGATTTCTGTAGTAGGGGATATGAGGAGGGCTGGGAGCAAAATATGCTTTTTAGAGCTCTCTTTCTCGTTCCTAAATGCCTGGAGAGCTGGCACTGCTTGTACTAGTCTCAAATGTGGTCTATGCTGCTTAATGTGGTTTTTGTTCACAGTTATTCCATAAAACTAAAAATTAATTTCCTTTGAGGTACTTGAAGGGGTAAGCATGATTTTATTTATTATTGTTATAAACTAACGTTGCCTCTGCCTAGAGGCTCTCTCTTATGTTGAGGATGGTGTTGTGCTGTTGAAATATTCAAATTAAAATCAGCCTCCTTTCAAGGACCTGGCAGCCTGAGTATTAGAGGCTTTCTGGTTTTCCTATGGGTTTTCTCATATAGAAGGTTGAACAGGATGAAGTCACTTTTGGAGGAACTTGTGGGTGATTAATTCAGTTCATTTCCTCTTTCCCACCAATCCCATCTGCAGGGCTACGCTTTTTTCTTTTCTTTTTTTCCTTTGTGCCAGCACAGAAATATTTGATTATTTATTGAAGTTTAATACCAAATAGCTGCTCTGTTTTGTAATATCTGTAACCAGATATCTGTAATATCTGTATCTGGATTTGTTGTTTTCAACAGACAGGTTTTTTTCTGGAAGAAAGCTGGTATTTGCTTAAGAATTGTTACATATTTCTAATCTGTAAATATGCATACGGAAATATAATTATAATAATTTTGTTCTTTGTGAGCAGCTGATTCAGGATTTCTTATTTCCCCTTGTATTTCTTAGGTATGTGTCTCAGCTGCTTTTTTTTTTTAATGAAACAAGGATGGCTCAGATTTCTTCTCCTTGCATGTTTCCTAGTGATACAGTACTGCAGTCTCTGCCTTGCTCAGCTTATGTCTAATTGCAGAGTATTTAGCAAAAGAATCCATGTGCAAGTTTTAGATTTGAAGTTGACCATCTATTATACTTGGCTTTATTAGCAGATGTCATCTGAACAGCAGAGACAGTCTAATAGGGAGAAATTAATCTTCAGGCCTATATGAAGATAGGATTGCATCAGTCAGATTCAAGAACTTGTAGCCTGGGAGAATTTAGGAAAAAAGAAATTTTCTTTTCGTTGTAAAGCTGGGATGTTTCAGTGCAAGTGTGACATCTGTGGCAGCACTGGTTACTGACAGTCTTCTGGGACAAGCTGGCCAGAAGGACTGGGTATTGTGGGAATAAATTGTTCATATGGCAGCTTAACTGTTGAATGCACATGTTCTAAAGGAAAAACATGATTTATCTAAAGAGAACTACTGGGGCTTGATTTCTGGAGTTGTTGAAAAAACTCTCTTGACTCCCACAGAAATTGGTGTGAGCCTTGGGTACCAAAGGCTTCAAAAAACAAGGTCTTATTGTCAAGATGAAGATTGTGAAAGAGAAGCCTGATATAATTTCATTATTATTTTAACCTTCCATATCCCAGTTTTCATACCAATAAAATGAGGATGACATTTTACTACCTTTAAGGAGTTGTGAGTGTTAACATAGTACAATCTTAGTAGTCCTGCAAGGAAGACATTGAGAAGTGACACTTTTTATGCTGCTAAATTGCTCAAAAATGGTCAGTTTCTTATTGTTCAAATCTGACTTTAATTCACTTCCTCCAGTGACCCTTTCAGTGTTAATCCACCACACAGAAGTGTTGCAGTTTTAATTAAAAAGGAAATCTTTATCTCACTAAGCTTAGTCTGCCATCTGATCATGCAGTATGGTTTACAGACAGTATTATCTGTCTAATTTACATCATAAAACTGTGACTTAAGCAAGGCAGAACACATTGGCAATCCTCAGTAAATAATGCTGTTCTAACCAAAACTGGATATGTTTTAAGCAAAATTTGACTGTAAGAGTGGAGATGCGAGTACATGGCACATGGTGCTGCACACAAGGAGGGTTACAGGGACACAGAGAACTCAGTGGGATGCTTCATTAAAATAAAATCTCTAAACTCAGTCTGGAGTAGCTCCTGAAAATACATGCACCAGCTCAACCACAAGACAGGAATTTGAGGAAGGATTTACCAGATTAAATTTTTTAGTTTATGATATAATGAGGGCTAGTGGTTCCTACTGATCTTTAAAATCTATGATCCTAAATACTGGCAGTGGTTATGTCCCACATCACTTGGAACTCCATAAATCATATAGCATGGTGAGCTGCAAAGCTATGAACTGTCCTGAGGGCCTGCATGTGGCAAATATTCACATTTGACTGGCTAATATCCCCAAATCTCACCCCAGCAGGTGATGAGATTAGCAGACGTCAAGGACTTAAGCAAAATTCTCCTGTTAGTTGTTTTTATATTTGGGTCAAGGTAAAGCAGCTGTCCCAGGACAGGACAGACTTGAAGAAGAGCAGGAAAACCAGCCCCACTGCTCAGCTCCCAATAGCACTGGCACATCAAGGTAGCAAACATGATTCAGGAGTCACTGAGCAAAAACAGAGCCCTACAACACTATTTTTCATATTACTGTCACGATTTTTAAAACATTGTGGGAGGAAAGTAGTGGGGGAAAGAAGAGGAGAGAGAAACCGGATCTTGTATTTCTTATTAGCAGAGGAAGGAGAGAGGTACAAGATCTGTATCACACTGTAAGCTCTTTACCTCAGAGGAAAGTGAACCCCATCTGGCAAGAATTAAATGTTAATGTATCAAATCATGTCCAAAAGCATATAAAACTCAAAGGACAGCTTATGATACCCTCTGAAAACAAGATCTAATTTAATTCATTTGCATATCTTGACACCCAACCCTGCAAATTGGCATTGGTGGGTTAATGCCCTGCTACCATTAGACTCCCTTGAGCTTATCGGAAAACTGCTTTCAACAAACTGCAGGTACTGAATTGAAGCGTCTGGTCAGGGAAAACCACATCAAACCACATCATCTTAACTGTGATCCATTTTGGGATGCAGAAGGGTGGCAGCAATCCTTGGTAGAAAGAAACAATAAACTGATTTTGCTGAGAACCTCATCAATCACTGGTCACAGTGACCCACGGATGATTAATCTCATTAAAAACTTCAGCCTCATGGCAAAAGTAATAGCAGACACACTAAAAGTGTGCTAGATATGCTTTCAAAAATTTGAATGGGTCTGGCTCATGTCCCTGAGAAGAAGGGCAAACTTTTCACTGACTCTAGTTGAACTTCAGCTATTTACTCTGTGTCAGATGCCATCTTTAAGACCTGTGGAAACCGTACAGAAGGTACCTGGCCTCTTATTGAGCCATGTCCATATACTCAATTCAGGGAAGGAAGAGCTGAATCAGTGGGCATGAAACATTACCTCTTAATGCAGTGAGCTTTCTGACAACTAGCATCTCTGCTGCCTCAGCTCTTAAATGAGGGGATTGGTAAAGAGTCTGGGCAACATATCTGATTTTCTGTGTGTCTGTGAATCCAAGGGGTTTTCACTGTTTTGGAGGATTATATACGCCTAACAGTATAGTCAGTTTTTCATGTTGGTCCTTTTTGCTGTCTTCTACTTACCTGTAGAGTTGCAAGAGCATGCATACAGTTTCCAAAACTGCTCCTGTGCACAGTACAGCTTGGAAAATTGTACATTTTCTTCTCATACCTTGTGAACACAATCCATGACTTTGAGTGCATCCATGTTGTCCATCTGTAGTTAGATTTGGTACTTGGCCCTGGTCTTTCAGTCATCTACATGAAACTGTATCAGCCCAGTATCTGGGTTTAGCAAGCTAAATAGCTACCTCTCTTAAGACACTTGGATGCATTTGAGAGGGTGGAGCTCAAGGATCTGCACACCATGGACACTACCTACACAGACCTGGGCACATTCACTCCCTCCTCCCAAGAATGTTCTCCAGTTCCCATGGTCTTATGCACACAAATCTCACTCAACTGTGCTCACTAGCTGGCATGAAAACCTGCGGAATTCTACATCAATCCTCTCGTTATTTGACCGCTTGGGATTTTTACTGAACCTTGTGAATAAAATATCTAAACGTTTTTCAGGTGCAAAAAGTAGTTCAGGACTTCCATATTCAGCACTTTCAGGATCTCCACATACCACATAACTGAGGCCAGTTCACGCTACAGGTTTGGCCTGCAGTAATAAGTAATTTGACTTCAGATTCGTCAAAAGAAAGGCTGTGCATTCAAAGATCTGTGATGCCAATCAGTATGCTGGAGCAGCTTGACACAGAGGCTCTGTGAAAAGCTACACCAGTTTGGAACTGCAGTAATAGCGTGCTCCATGTTGCACTGTCACCAGGGATTTGAGCATCACACTGGGTCTGAGAGGTCTAGGACCTTGACAAGCCTTGAGACAGGAGACACTCTCTGAGGCCATTCATTTAGCCCTTCCATCTTCATTGCCATGCTCAGGACAAGTGAAGGAGGAGTTCCAAGCATGAGCCCATACCTCTGGCACTGCCCCTTGCTCTGGTAGGTGTCTTGCCTGAGTTATATTTACTGGAGAGATGAGAGTAAAAAGATATGTTTAGGTACAACTGTGCTTAGGAAAAATATACTGTATGATGGAGGCATTCTCCAGCAGAGAAGGGCAGCTCAGGGACCAGGACAAAAGAGACTCACCTCACTCCATGCCTTGCATACCACTAACGTGTATGCAGACAAACACACACACGTATACAAGCAGCCTTTTCCAACAGCAGCCTCCTGTCCTTGTTTGCCAACAAAGATATCCAGGCCCTATGAGCACTTCATGTAACAACTTGCTATGTCACAGCTTGGTTGGCAGTTAAGAGCCAGGAATATAATTGGGGCAACAAACACCATCTGGCTGAGACCAGCTCTGACAGGCATCTGTGTGTACCCATCCATAGCCCCAGTTTGAGCTGGCCTTGCCAGCACCCCAATGCATGAAGTTTGCTGTGGTAGGACTGACATCGTGTGCTGAGGAAGCAGTGGCAGCACATGCAGCCATAGCAGAAGCAAGAAGTGTGGTTTTGTAACAGCTTCTGAAATCGTTCATTGGGCTTGGTCACCTTATGAGGAGGATGTTGGTGTGGTCCTCTGCCATGCTTGGGGCAAGTGCATTCTGACACCAATGCTGGGGAAGCAAGGTGACACTCACTCCTAATTGCAGACAGCAGAGGAGTCTAGTATGATGCCAGATTTGTTCCCAGAGCACCGCAGTGTGGTCACAGTTCATGTGTTCCTGAGGGACACAGGCCATATCCTACAGGCAGCCAGGGAACCAGTGGTTGCTCCAGGTGTGAACTGCAAAGACAGCCTGTAAACAGGCTTTTTTGTCTCCTCCATAACAGGGTCCCAGTACATAATGGTGTGTTTGAGCACAGTACACAAACCCAAGGCTCAACTGTGTGTGCAGGGAAGCATACCAGATCATTGCTTCCTAGACTGTTGAGTTAAATGTCCAATGCCTATTGTTAATATTAACCTATATACTGAATGTTTTGGAATGTACCTATTTGTACTGAGCTCTCCCAACTGAAACACTTCAACTGCAGTTCTCAGCACAGAATTCATTATTCTGAAACTTGCTTTCTCAATTAGCTGGAAAGAGTCTGATTGTTTTCACCCTTTGGATCACATTTTAACTCCTGTAATAGCTTTACCTGAGATAGATTGATGAGCATTCAACAATGCTATGATTACAGGCTGATTACATTTTCTTCATGAATGACACTTTTCATGTAATTGGGCGTGAATTTAGGGAGAGTCTTTTTAAACTTCAATAGTAATTCAGCTGGTTGTCTCTTCTGATTGGTACAACTTGCATCTGTCACATGAGGGTATTTCATTGAGCCATGCACTTTATTAAATGTAAACGTGAACTTAGACCAAACTGAAAGTTCTAAGTCTGCTTACACCTCAGCATGAACCCAGGGTCTCCATCACATAGTTTTGAGTGCTCCAGCTGGAAACAACTATGCCCTGGCAACCCTATACATCAGCAGACATACCCGCCTCATGCCTTCCTGATTAAAGAGTAGATAATGTGATCCCAAGCTATTGCCATCAACCTGGACAGAAACTGCATAACTCACAGGTACAGCATGACTGAGCCTGTAGTCAGACTGGTGCTTTCACCTCAGTATTGTTGGTTTTGTCTGCAGCTTGCAGAATATCTGCTCTGCCTTCACAGGCAATACACCATGGAGTTAAAGAGGTTTGGGAAAATATGCTTTATGAGAAAAGATGGAAAATGTTTAGGTTGTTTTGTTTAGAGAAAAGTTGACTGAGGAAGAAAGGATAACTTTTCAAATATATAAAAGGCACTGCAGAGAGGAAGGGATAACCTGACAAGAAGCAAGGTTCTTGGATTGAAGTAAGGCATATCAGCGCAAAAACTTCTTATCAGTAAGGAGGTGAAAGGCGGAAACCAATTATCAGGAGGGCATGGCACTTCCACCATTTCACCCAATGCCTGTTGGGCATGTCATCAGCAGGGGCAGGGCACCGACATAGCATAAGCAGGCTAAGACAGGCTGGATCAGAAGGGAGAACAGCCTCTGCACCTCCTGAGCAGATCCCAGGTCACCATGAGCAACAGTAGAAAGGCTCACTCCCGCTAGACCCTCCATTAATGGAGCTGCATAAATATCTGCCACAGGCATAACTCATTCAAACTTATTTTCAAAGCACCACCATTAAACTGCAGAGCTGAGACCAGAGTGCGGGTAATCTAATTCTTAGTTATCTGTGCTGCCAACTATACCACAAATACCGCCATTCTCCTGACACATGAAATTAAGCCAGGCTGATGATGACTTTTCCCTTCAGTATGGTTTAACACAGAGGTGTTAGCAGCAGCAGCCCCGAGTCCTAGGGGACCAGGGAAAACCTCAGTCAGAAGGTGTAGCTTTTTCGAGGGGGAAGTTATTTGGTGGGCTAGAAAGCTACTGTAAGTGTCCTCCCATGAATGCGACCGTGAGCAATAAATGATCTTTGTGCCCGCAGGTTTGTAAGCGGGTCATATTTTCACGATGTCCAGCATGCTGCTGTGTTTTCTGCAACAAAGCTCACCTAATCAAAACAAGTCAGAGCTTATCTAAGCCCCTAGCCGGAGATATCTCTGTGGTGGCTACAGAGCCGGGTTTCCTAGCAACCTAAAAGGCATTAGATAGGGCTTTGTCGACATTTATCTGTTACACACAAAACCCCCCGTTTGAATAATGTTATGGGTGTGACATCAACTGACAAAAGCCAGGAAATTCAGAGCTGGGTCTGATTTTCTATCCTTGCCGCTCATCAGGCTGAAAAACAAAAGGCACAGTCATGTGAATGATGAGCAGAACAAACCAACCTTTATATTTCCTGGCTTTTCTCCCAAACGAGATGCCATTTAAATGAGGTGTTTGGTATTAATTTCCTCTGTTTAAGACAGGTTTAATACTCACATTAGGTAGCATATTGCAGAGTTCTCAGTTTCTTCATGGCCTACCTTCTTCCTTTGAGGGGCCGACCTGAGTGAGGAAGGAGATATCCCAGCCCTCTGTAATTTTTGTTTTCTCCGTGATGAAACCATCTTTCAAATCCATACCTTCATAGGTGAAGGCTGTGAGCCTGCTCTAAGCCACCAGTGTCCTTCAGCAGTAAAGATCATTATTGGCTTGGCGGTGGAGCCGTTGAGGATATGCAAGTTAAAAACACTACATCTTGCTACTAGTGCCCAACTTTAAAAATGGGAAGAACATTTTTATAGGTTTCAAGGGATTCTTGATATGGATTCTTGGAATGGGTCTTGTTATCAAGCATTATGAAAACAAAAGGTCAAGAGAAAAAAGAATTAATGTAGGTGGGTTTTTTCCCCAGACCTAATATATACTGAGGACTGATGAATGGTCTGAAAAATGATACTTCAGCAATGTCTTTTATTTCTCCACTTGTAGCAATAGCAGTGTTTAAAACCTCACAGCTTGCACTTTGTGGAGGAGATTGATGGAAGAAGAGATGGAAGAACTGCCATTGCTTCAAATCCTTGGGGAAAGTCTTCTGGAAGTGAATGGGAACTGATCACCTCTCTACAGACTTCTTGAGTCATCTCAGAGAATTTAATAGAAAATAATTCTTTTGCTTCAGATTGGTATAATGTGACTTAAAAGTGCTAGAAAAAAGTCTTAATTTTCACAATCTAAATTATCAATCAGATGGGGTAAATTAATCTGACTTCTGTTGCAATTCTGTATACCAGCTCAATCCCTAACTACACAGCTTTCCATATGTTTATTTGCACTACACAGCTTTTCCTATGTGTATTTGCACTTGCACTACTTTAGTAGTTCCACCTCTGGGGCTTTCACACAAAGATAAGAGCCTTTTTTACATTTGTTTGAGGCCTGACGTGAAAGGTTTATCTCCATGTAAATTTTTCCAGCCTGGTTGTGAAACCTCTGAAATGGATGGTAAAGAAAGTTCTGATGAAACTTAGCTGTAGTTGAGTACTCCAGTGCTGTAAGGGAAAATCCCCTGAATTGCTGTCAGTGGGTGAGCAGCCAGGCTTTCATCACCTTCATTCTTCACTGTAATCTTCATTAACATAAGAGTTGGTATTTTGCTCCTCACTGATGGATGCCATACTGTTTGAACTCCAAGGGACTGGTGGAATAAAGGCATGTATACAGGCCTCTCTGCTGACCACAGCTAGCATTTCTTTAGCAAGCATAGCATGAATATAACCGCTACATATACCATAATGGAGAGGCATTACTATGCGCGTTATCACTTTCAAGCTTTGAAAGAAACAGAAGCAGAAGGAGGTTCTTGCACTTTCTGCCGACATCATCTTTACTGTCCATCCATTTGTTCCCCATTTAGCCTCCCCACTGGCAAAGCCTCTATTATGTGCTCAAAGATGAGACAATGGGAGCCCACTACCGTGGCGAATGGGTGCATTGTTCCATGGGCTCCCTATAGAAATCCCTGCGTTCGCATGACCCGTTTTCCAAAGTTTGTGGGGTTTTTTTTTGAAGGGGGAGGGTAAGAGGAAAAGGGACAATGTTTCACAGCTCTGCACAGATTAGCGGTACGTTCATGCCCATACACTGAGATGGATAAAATAGCCATATTTTTTTTCCCAAAGTTCTTATTTGTAATGCATGCATGAACTCACTTAACAAGCTTAAAATATTTAGTGAACATTGAAATGAATGGAGAGTGTGGGAGGGGGGACAAAACTAGCAGAGATAATTGAATACACTTAGCAGTCATAGCAGCTTTACATAGCTGTATCGTATTCTCTATGGATAACACAGCTGGGACAATATGATTAGAGTTTTAAAATATCTAGGGATTTCTGTCTTAAGATAGTTATCAATAATTGCAAACTTAAACATTAAATATTTTTGGCTAAGTTAAAATATATACCCCTTTATTTAATGTGTGATAAAATATTGTAAAATAGAGAATATTTTCCCTTTGCCATTTTTGCAGGACCCATGTAAGAAGGAAGGCTCTCTGAGAGGGTCTGTTCTGGAACAGGAGTCTGCCTTGGGAAAGCCAAAGGCTGCCAAAGACGTGGATTAAAACACAGAAGGCAAAAGTCCCTCAGACTTGACAGTGCTTGAAATGTCAAATAAGATCAAGGAGACAGGTTGCTATAACACAGGTTCATATCACCTGTAAAACTGCTTAAGCCCTCCAGTGCTGGAGAAAATCTTGCCAGATTAAATCACGAATTTCCAGCTTCATTCCAACTGAGCCTAAATTTGTACCTTTGCCCTTGTTCTGACTCGGACTAGGACCTCAAACCCACAGACTGCAGCAACACATCCATCTCGGCTCACACCTTATTAACCGCTTGATTAGAGCAGCACTGGGGAAACTCTGCACTTTGCTTTCCGTTTCTCTCTGGTGCCTGATGCCACTCGTTGCAGGACCATGTTCAGCACAAAGCGCTTGGAGAGGCTGAGCCTTCCTGGTCACGCACGGTTAGTGAGAGGTGAAGGTCTCCTCTGCTGGGCTTTTCCTCTCTTTTCTGAGACAACTGACCTTGATGCCACCACGAAGCTCTTCTCCAGGTCACACCACTTGCTCTGCATCCAGTACCTTAGCTGGAGCTGGTGACTAATGCATGGCTGCTTAATTTGGAAGAGCAATATGAAGGTCACTGAGGAAGGTAATGCGGTCCTGTTGGTTGAACATGTGGATAAGGGCACAACAAAAACATAATCTACTTTGCTGGGGATGCGATCAACCAGGTTTATGTATGCAGTTGGCAAGCGGTACTTCTGAGTGTTATTCTATCAGATAATCCAGAGAGCAGAGCAATTATATATCTCTCTGCTTCCCTAATATGGCTTTAATCTAGGGATTAGGTAATTTTCATATGTGTAGGGTTTTCTAAAACAGTATTAAAAGTAACTCTTATTTTCTTCCTACTTGTTTCCTGATTTTTATTTATGAAATACCTATTTCTGTAACCAAGCAAAGGTTACAGGTTACAGTCTGAGGGGAAGATTCCTGATATTCCAAAGGGCAAAACCTCAGTGGGACCTCCTTTTCCACCCAGAGTAAGATGTCTAGAAACCTCAGAAAACTCTCTGGGGTTTGCAGACAGCTTTGCTGCGTGTGTGCAGGTGGCTGAAGTGTCTGTCATATGAGACTCATCACGCATAAGCATACAGCTGACTACGAGTGACGTGGTTAGATTGTTCTTCTGCTTAAAGACAGAAGCATCTGATGTGAGGAAACGGCTAGCTAAGGCACTGCCACCGCCTGGTTTCTCAGCATTCCTCTCTTACCTCCCTGGCACTGGAATGATCATACCACTACCCAAGGAAGGGTCTTTAATTATATAGGGAATTCTCTGAGGAAGGCAAAAGTGCTAAGCATGTTAGAGCAGGCACATGGAACCCCAGGACTGGCAGAGACTTCTAGGCTCCACTTTCATACCTCTCCTTGCCTGTGCTGCATAGTTCTGACAGATCACTTGTCCCAGTGCTTATGCCTCATAACTGTGGAATCAGGGATATTTGCTGAGTTAATTTTCAGCTATATGAGTTATCTAAGACTGGCTGACCATGAGATCAGCAACAGAGTGAGCACAGTGTAGTGTGGAGGAAAAAGTGTGACCACATGGTCAAGAGCAGAGATGCAGGATGTGCCTCTGCCACCAATTGGAGGGAGGTGAGGAAATGGCTGTTTGAAAGCAGGTCACACACAGAGGCAGCTTAAGCTAAAGATAAAACCAGAACTGAGAGATTAACATCGAGGGAGAACTACTTAAGCTGTAGTTAAGACTATAGCTTAAAGTTCCACAAGAAGATGTGGACATACAGCTATGAATAATATTAGGCTGGAAATTAAAGTAGTTCTAGCTGTGAGAGAAGTAGGATTCCAAAATAGCTTTCCAGTGAGAGTAGAAGTACTCAAACAAGAGACTGAGTTTAAGGAGATTTACATGATACAATTGCTGCAGTAGAGAGGAACCTGGGCCAAAGACCCAGAAGGTATATATCCACCCTATCTCCCCTGCTTGTTTTCATTTTAACTCTCTCTGTTACTCTCCTTTCTTCTTCTCTTTTTTCCTGTTCCTTTTCTACTCTGATGACAAGCCGGAAAATCCTCTCTGTGCATTCTCTCTGTTGCTGTTACATCCATTTGGCAGAACAAGGCAAAGGCAAATCCTGTTGTGGTACATCTTACTGAAGTCTGCAGGCAGAGCCAGCATGGGGCTGACCCTCGGGGCACAGAAGCAGGGGCTGTGGGAGGCCATGGAACCGTGGTGACAAAAGAGTCCTTGCCCTCCTGGTGCATGGCTGGTTCCCCTTGCTCTGTGCCATGGACATGCTCGTGCCTTGGCAGGGCATTCAGTTGAAAAGCACTTGATTTCTGCTGGGGAAAGCTGATGGCATAGTATCTACCCAAGAAGGCTATTGAGAGTTTAGATTCATTTAGAGCATGACTGCCATGTTTCTGTGGAGCAGAAAAGTCAAAAATCCACGTACAGCTGTAATGACCATCACTATAAACATAATGTTCTGTTTAATTGGAAATGGAGAGGCTGACTAGGTAGCACTTATTGGGGGGAAGCAGGCAATGCCCTCAGAATGCAGTTTTAAAGGCCACAGGGAAGCTGCATCTTGCTCTGCCATTAGCAAAAGTGATTACCCATCACTTTTGGAATCCAGTCGTCCCAAGCTTGGCCAGGCTGGTCTGAGGCTGAACAACACGATGTCAGGCTTCCTCTGCTGTACCCTGGCACTGTCAGAGCACGTGACTCATTCCTGCACCTCTAGGCTCTGAAACTAAGCTTGAATAGAGAAACTTGTTTTAACACATAATTAATACAAAGAGGGGCTCTTTGGCAGGGGGTATAATGCTTCCTGGCACTGGCTGCTTCGTTTGCACTGGTGCCCACTTACAGTGACTGTATTTTGCAGCTTGCAAAAGAATTGCTTGATTTTCACTATATACCTTTCTATAAAAAGTGAGCATGTCTTGCAAGAAGGTTGGTCAGTTAATACAAAAGTAATTTAGATGCTAGATAGACCAAGCCACTTTTTCCTTCTGTCGCACTATTGCAGCAGGTGTTTTCGTCATGAGCATCCACCTGAAAAGTTGCCACAACTCTATTAGTTGGCATTAGGGCCTTCACTTCTCAGAAAGAAAACTGTTGCTTTTGCCTGTTGAGGCTGTAATTCCACAAGTACCTCAGCCATATATCAACTAGGTTGCTGTGGTCATGCTCTTCCTCCCATCTAGGCCATGAAACCTTGCCTCCTCCCTCAAACAGCTCCGGCATTAACCAGCTCCAGTGCCCTGGCATTTCAGCATGCCTAACTGGCAGAAAGCCTCTGCTTCTTTCTTAGCAGGCCAAAGGGGTATGTCCAAAGTCACAGGAGCTGGCCAGAGAGCAGCCAAGCCTGATGATCCTGCAGTTAGATGGGTTCAGACTGATGAAGAACAACAACATCCACGTCTCGCTCACAGTTTGTGGGGAACAGATTTAAGGCATCCATTGTTGGAGTTTTCCTTAATTGCCACAGCAATAAATTTAGCTTCTTGCTGTGAAACCTCATTGTTAGAGATGATATGCAACTACATACATACCCATCTAAGTATGGTATTAACAACTGAGTGAAGGGGAATATTAGAACTACTGCAGTTTCCTTCTCCCGATCAGTGTTCTGTGGGATTTCCCTTGTTTAAAGAATAAGTTAATACTAATTAAGATGAAA